CAGACGAGAGAGCTCGGGCAGCGCGTGGCGAGGAGGGGAGCCGCGGGAGGAGGGAGGAGGGGGGGAGGGGGAGGGGAAAGGGGGAAAAGGGATGTCGCTCAGGCTCTCCCACACAGCTGCTCCCCTTACACCATCACAACTAACACGGCAGGGAGGCAGGGAGGCCCACATGTGCTGGAGTGAGGCGGCCCGCTCGGCGGCATCGCAGGCTAGGAGAAGGCATTCGTACGCCGCTAAACTGGTTAAGTCTCCCCTCATAAGGAGGCCTCGGCTCGAGCGCCCAGTCATTCAGCGACCAACAGACGCACGCATCCACAACAAATGCACAAACGTACGTACGCACGAACACAGGCGGGGCTGGGCAAGCGTATTGATTGCTGCCGGACGCTAGCAAGCCGGCGGGGAACACAGCTGATTCTTCGCTGCCGCCCTGCCACGCCCGACGCCCGAACAGCCTCGTCCGCCCCTGCGAACTACACGACTCACCAGGCACCTCCCGCCCCACCCGCCCGCCCTGCAGCTCGCCCTCAACGCAGCCACTGAGTCCTGCCTCTCGCACTTCCGGCAGGGCCTCCCCGCAGCCTCTCGCTCGCGGCCGCGGCCTCCGCCAGCTGTTGCTAGGCAAGCTCTCTAACTAGTCGCCCGTGTTCCTCCTAATGCAGGCATAATTGACTGACCTGGCCGCGCTCCACGAAGGGGGAAAAATGGAAACGTTGATTGATAGCTTTGTCAAGGGCGACTCGGAAGAACTCCCATGGGCCCTCCCTCCCCCAACCCCGACCACGACCTCCGCCAACACCACCCACACACATCGGGCGCGAGCACCACTGCGCCAACCTTATCTGCCGCCCACGCTATGACTCGTCCACCCGCCCCTTCCTACTTCCGCTCCGCCACCACGCCTAAAAATTCGCCAAATCTTCCCCCTCGCGCCCTTGGCACCACACAAGAGAAGGCCGCCCGTGGTGACCTCAGCGCAAGAACGGTGTTGGAGAGCTAGCCATCTCGAGCCCGGGTCACATCGTAGCGAGGTCGTCGCATAAAACCGAGCATGACGAGCGAAGGAGCAGGCGGAGGCGGGAAGGCAGTAGCACGTCAACAAGTGGAGGGCGTCCCCCGGCTGCTGGCACCGCGGCCACCGGAGTGCCACAATAACAAAGGTGAGAGAGAGCTGTGATGCTGCACCGCCCTTGCCGCAGCCTGGCCATTCCACAAACAACCCTCATCATCACACTCTGTAGAGGCGCGTGAATCCCTCCTTCGCGTGAGAAGCTCGCATATGGAGGCACTTTCTGGCGTTAACACGGCCATTGGGGCGACCCGGCACTAATGCCAAGTGACAATCCGAGGTGCGGCCGAGGTCTGTCACTGCTTTCTCGGAGGCATAAGATGTCGCCTTGAATGTTCCTACATGACCTTACAACAGGTCACCAGAGCAGGCCCTTGGCGGGGGCCGAGTATGTATCAACTACACAGGGTCGTATGGAATGAAGGGGAATGACGGGGATACAACATACGCGAAAGAACTGGAGAACGAAAAGTATCTCCCCAGGTAACAAATTTTCTATCGAAGTACCAACTCCTCTTGACAAAGAGGAGTTGACAAAGATCTTCCTCGAGAACTGGCGCCCACCGCCTCACCCCCGCCTTCACTGGAGCCCGGCGAACATGGACTCAAAGTCCCGCACTTAGATTCATCGATGGCATCACCAATTTTAATCTGAGAGGATTTATCTATGCCGTCACCAATTCCAGTTCGAGAGGATTTAGCTATGACATCGCCAATTTCAGTTCGAGCATTAACCTATGACGTCACCAATTTTAGTTCAAGAGAGAATAAGCGCGGAGCAACGAAACAGCGGCCGGGCCTGGCTTAATTCCTCAAAGTGCCCATGATCACTGCCTAAAAGCCGGAAGGAAGTGCCACTGCTCGGCAAGTGCGAGATATTAGCAGCAACCAGACCCGCTCGATGTGGCCCTGCGAATCGGACGAGCGCAAGAAGGAGCAGCAGAGCAAATACTCCCGCGCTTTGCATTTTCCTTTGCCATGGCGCGAGGGGATGTTCATTTGCCAGGTTATCCAAATCATGCAGCGGAATGCCGTGTCTCTGGATGAGCTCCCGTCCTTTCTGTCGTAACAGAAGATCCACAGGTAACAGATATAAACTATTGATGTCAACACCAGAAAAAATGCAAAATACGAAGCTGATCCGCCAAAACGACACAAGACAAGAAAAGTAGGATAAAACGGATGAAAGAAAAACATTTCTTATACTCGCTTGCGTGAGTCATTTCCTCTTCAAAACTATGAAAGTCCATTTGTGAGATAACGCCAAATAAAGTTTATTACTTTAACTTTCTTCCTACGTACAGGCATGGTAACATGAATGAACAAGTAACACTAAAAATAATAATAATAAGGATGATAATAATCGTAACAGCAACGATAACAATAGAGGTAACGGTAGAAGAACGGTAACCGAAATGGTAATGGCAATGGTACTGCTAAGAGTAATGGTAATAACAACGGTAGAAACAGCACAGCTAACACAACTACTATAATAACAGTAACAGTACGAGTGTGAAATTAATAATACAAAATGTAATAGTAAAAATAATGGCAGTCATATAAATACTACTACTACTACTAATAATAATAATTATTACTATTATAATAATAACAGTAATAACAACAACAAAACAGCATCAACAATAATCATAACCCCTATAACCGAAAAAAATCAAATCTTGGTTTGAAATTAGGTAAGTGCGAAGGGCAAGGCGGAGAGGGGAAGGGGAGGGGCGGGAGGAGGAGGAGGAGGGAGGGGCGGCGACCTGCGAGGGCTGAGAAGGAAAATATAAAATAATGTTAACCGCCAAAGCCATCGTGCGAAATGGAAGGCCGTAACATTTTCACAGCTGCCGAAATCAATGTGCTGGAAGCCGTAGTCGCTTAACTTTCACAGGTGATGCAAAGGCCGGTTACACATTTTTGCTTTTGCTTCTTCTTCAATCTTCTTCCTCCTCTTCCTTTTCTTTTCTTCCTCCACTTCTTATTTCTCTTCCTCCTCTTCTTATTTCTCTCCCTCTTCTTCTCTCTCTTCCTCTTCTTCTTCTCACCCTTCCTCTTCTTCCTTCTCTTCCTCTTCTTCTTTCTCTCCCTCCTCTTCTTTCTCTTCCTCCTCTTCTTTCTCTTCCTCCTCTGCTTTCTCTTCCTCCTCCTCTTCTCTCTCTTCCTCTTTCTCTTTCTCTTCCTCTTCTTCTTTCTCTTTCTCTTCCTCTTCTTCTTCCTCTTCCTCCTCTTCTTTCTCTTCCTCTTCTTCTTCCTCTCCCTCTCCTTCTTTCTTTTCTTCTTCCTCTCCCTCTCCTTCTTTCTTTTCTTCTTCCTCCTCTTCTCCTTTCTCTTAAATGGAAGGTAGTTTCCCAACTGTGTGTCATCCCGGATATTGGAGAATTAAAAAGTATGTGTCCATGTGTTTGTATGTATGTATGTATGTATGTATGTATGTATGTATGTATGTATGTATGTATGTATGTATGTATGTATGTATGTATGTATGTATGTATGTATGTATGCATGTATGCATGCATGCATGCATGTGTGTATATATGTACGTATGTGAGTGTGTGTGAGAGAGAGCGAGAGAGCGAGAGAGCGAGAGCGAGCGAGCGAGAGAGAGAGAGAGAGAGAGAGAGAGAGAGAGAGAGAGAGAGAGAGGAGAGAGAGAGAGAGAGAGAGAGAGAGAGAGAGAGAGAGAGAGAGACAGACAGACAGACAGACAGACAGACAGACAGACAGACAGACAGAGAGAGAGAGAGAGAGAGAGGAGTTGGGGGAACAGACAAAGAGAGAGGGGGGGGGGGCAGACAGAGAGAGAAGGGGGGCAGAGACATAGATTGAAGTAGAAAACAGAGAAATGAAGAGATTGAACCAAAGAGAAAGAAAGCGAGAGAAAGAGACAGAGAAAGAGAAGATAAACCTTTAAAAAAAATAAACAATGGCCGCCGACGCCTCAGCCTCTGAATGCACTAAATTTTACCAATTAGCACAACACA